GCAGCTGGCACATGGGCTGGCCTGCTGAATTCACAATAACAAAAATAATCTTGTATGTAGTATCAGAGGATGTATGGATGGATATTTAGCATGTCATCTGTGGAAAAAGAGATTAGTGACATGTCATACAAGCTACAGCTACCGTAACCTAATTTAGCAAAGACAGGAAACGTTTGGTCTGTCTAGGCACAAAATTCAGTGTGACTATTCTGTAGATGGCTATCCCAGTGCTTAAAAGAATATATATATATATATATACATCTCTAAACCCAACCCAAGGAAACAGATCCTGCAGAATATGAAGGCAACCCTCAGGAACCTCAAAGTGCAATGAGGGCAGTCTCAGACATGAAGCCTGGTTCTAATGGCCCAGCGATGGGTCATGTCTCGTGAAAAACAGTTTTGGTTTTGGCACTGCTGATTGCAACAAAGATCCCTTTGCAGTGACTCTGAGATGATAAAAACAGATGCTCTTAATTATGACAGTGCCAAACCATGCACACACATAGTCTTGTACTGTTTTGAGAAATCTCAAATGAGTTTTGTCATAACAGTAAAATAGGACATGCTAATTTCCATAGAAACTCAGTTGTACTGAAAGACAATACATAGCTACATATAAACAGATCATGACTCCGGTCAGGAGAACAGGGGTAGGTGTTCTTTACCTAAAACATTTTAAAAACAATTCTCAGGTCTTATAACATAAGAAAAAGATATTTTAAACTCAAACATATTTTTTTTTATCAAACATGATGCAAGTGGTTTTTCCCCAATTTTCATAAACAACGTATGTTGTATTTGAAGACAGTTTTTGCCAAGAAATGCAAATCCTATTTAACTAAAATCAGACATTGATATTTTATGATCAGTGTTGATATAGCATAAGCGAGTTCTTTCTAAACTTAGAAGTGAAGACATCACTGAGTTAGTGAGGTGTGATGACTTAAAGTTCAGTTTGGGAACGTCAACCAGCCCCCTGATTCTCATTCTGACCCCCACCACCTCTTTCAACTCCCACCTCACAATGACAAGCCTTGTTACGCAAAGGAAAACTCTGCTTCCACAGCCTTTGCCATCACAGCCACTATTGTGAAGTGGCATTTTCTCAGGATATTCAAGACCCTGGAAAATGGTGGATCATGTTGCGTATCCCACTCTCCTCATTCAGGGAGGGTAAAGACAGCAGGAAAAGCTTTTTAGGAGCCTTTTAGAGATGTTGGTGATCTGATACAGAAAGACTATGCACCTCTTTAGGCAGGACACAGCCCCTTGTCATTAAGACTCCACATGTCAGTACTCACTGGGCTGCTGTGTGCCTGCCAGCCTAAGCAGCACAACACTGGGCCCAAAGCAGGCCATTTTCTCCACTATAGACTCAAAAAGAAATCCACTCACTAATCACAGCTCTGTGGTAGCAAAAATATCACCACTTTAAAAACCAAGGAGCACATCCCTTGGAGCTAGGGGTCAGCCAAAATCAAAAATTCTCATCCACTAACCTAAATGATGGTAAACACCAAAGACCAGGCAGACCAGGCTGTCCAGATCTTTTTTTTTAAAAAAAATAAGGGGGCACAAGCGTAAAAAAAGGTTCTTATTTTCCTATTTAAACCTTTTTCAAATGCTACCATTTAAGTTGATGCTGGACTTGGGGGAGATTTAAGGAATACACCATATTCCCAGAAGACACAATGAGATGTTCAAAGAAAAAGAGGAAAAGAAGACTGGGATAAACAGGCGACTCCATAAATACCACAGACATGCAAGTTTTATGGCTGGACAGTTATGACAGGAGTGAGTTCAAGCCTAGGACTGAACTGATGGAACTCAGCCATTATATAGCTTCTAAAATGTTCTTGGTCGGGCTATAAGTACATTTGCTCCAAAATGGTTTGCTGGCCACAACCTCGAAAATCCTCTGTGGGATTTTTAATAAAGCTTGGAATTGATGAAAATATCATTATCTGTATTTTAGAGCACAAACCTACATTGTAATGTGCACTGGAACTATTCACATGTAGTGTATATTTAGTGCATTTTTCTCAGTCATCACAAGGGAGAACTACTGTGCTGTGGAACTCATGTAACCCTTATTTTCTCCTAAATATCTGGGATTTAGTGATGTGTCGTTTGCGAGTGATTCGTTCAATATGAACAAATCTTTCATATGACTCATGAGTCCTGAGTGAACTAATCACTCACTGCGAACTAATCATTCACTATGAACGAATTACTCTCTGCGAACTGATCTTTCACTGTGATTTAATCTTTCACTGCGAACGAATCACTCTCTGCAAACTAATCTTTCACTACAAACTAATCAAGTTTCTGCAAACTAAACTTTTACTGTGAATTAATCTTTCACTTCGAACAAATCACTCTCTGGGAACTAATCTTTCACTGCGAACTAATCTTTCACTACGAACGAATCACTCTCTGCGAGTGGATCAGTCTTTGTAAATTAATCATTAATTGTTTCACTGCAAACTGTCTAATTATCAAATTGAGTTTTACATTCACTTGTCCTCTACCAGGATTTTTCATTTGTGATACACTGCTTGGGCTGCACAGATTCGCTCTCACAGATTTGTTCTAAGAGTCGTTCTTACAGAGTCGTTCTCACAGAGTCGTTCAAAAATTCGTTGTCACAGATTTGTTGTCGCAGATTCATTCCATTTGTCACGTGACAGACAACTTGGGTCTATTTTGCTCTCATTCATCTTAGTCACTGTTACGCGGTTAAACAATAATGACAGGGAGGATGAAGGACATGTCATTGTGGTGTGTTTTTATTTCTTAGCTTTTCGCATGGTTTTAATTGCTTATGGCATTTGTGTACTTTGTAGACTTTGTCAGCGGAAGGAAACCATGTTGCCTTCAGTATTTAGTGTCGGAGAACCGCAGGCTTCTTTACAACGCCCCCAATAGGGCTAAAGCGCCACCTGCTGTAAAACGAATGAAGTAAATTGTTCACAACTCGTTCATTTTACTGTGCAAGAGTCAAATATCCGAATCAGTAAAAAGAGTCGGTCTTCCCATTACTACTGGAATTCAATACTGTTGTAACAAGGTATAATAATATGGGAAAAAAAGGACTTGTTTCTGTATGGTCATGTGCGAAATATAACCCTTATTTTTTTTATTTGCACATGTTATTTCAGTAGAAATGAGTGCGTTAAAAAATGAAGCAAAAAAAGTTTATTTTTACACTATATTCTAAACTCTATACTAAATTTGTAAATCTATGCTGTGGAAAGTGTAAATACATGGTGGGTGGAATGTGAAAAAAGGGGTAATTGCTCCTGTCATACTGATCACTCTGCACAAGTTGCATTGAGCCAAAATGCAGTCTGTGTCACTAAAAACCAATAAATGGAAACTCAGCCACAAGAATATGCCCCATTATCCCCAATTTTATGTTTTAACCGAGCATAATGACAATAAAGACTATTTTATTCTAAATAAATACATTTCTTATTATGTAGTAGTACAATATATACAGTATATGACCAATAATAATTCTACAATGACACAGTGTATTTTTTAATTTATATATTTGCTTTTTAGAGCAGCATAAATTACACTGTTTATGATGCTAGAAATGGAGCTACCAGGTAGGAGACAAAGAGAAGATATATATGGATGCAGTGAGAGAGGACATGCAGATAGTTGGAGTCAGAGTAGAAGATACAGAGAACAGGGAGAGATGGAAATCAATGATTCACTGTGGCAACCCCTGAAAAAGGGACAAAGCCAAAAGGAAAATAATAAGAAAAGAAGTTGTATGACCTTCTGAAGAAGTGTATTTGTAACTGCATCTTAGGTCAGAAAAGTAACCAAGACACGCTAATTCATGTTTAAGTAGAATATCTTGACACTAAACCATTTCATCATAAGAAGCAGTGCAGTCGTCTGTCTGCGTGCCTGAGGCGTTCATCGGTCAAGTGAACATCACAGATGACACTCAGGCCAACTAAATAATGAGTGGGTCAATGAAGGTGACTCGTGTCTGCATAGACATATATTCTGCACTGACCTAAAGGTTTATTGTACTAAAACAACCTTATTAAAGTCAAAAGATAGGATGATGATTTGCAGTATAATGCAAGAGGTCAAACATTCCTGGATACCGTTGTGATTGACAATCTGAACACAAAACCTCTTAAACTTGAAAGGAATTTTTCAAAATTATTAACTTTCTCACCATGTGGCTTCTTAAAATGTTCCCAACATTATAAAACATGTCTAGAATTCTTTGTGTCTTTAGAAAAGGTCTTATATGTTTGTTTTCCCTGCAGTCATCTTGTATGTTGTTTTTTGTGCTGTGGGACCTTTGCTTGAGATAAAGCATGGAAGCATAGCTCACATAGCTCACCATGAACTTTCCCACAACATCTTTGGTAAATGAGTACAATTTAGCTGCAGTCTCATGATAACCCTAACTTTGTATTTTACCAAAAAGACTAATGAGTCTCCATTTAGACAGCTAAAGGTTAGGGCCATTGTTTTAAAGGAAATGAATCATTAGATCATAGAGCAGACTCTGAGTGAAATAGATTCAGACTGTTGTTTAAAGTAATGTCAAATGTTTTCATGGAATGACCTTTTTAGCTTGTGTGTTACCGGTTATCAAAAGGTCAAACTCCTGGGTCAACACAATCCCTTTGTAGGGCATCTTCTGTGGTATCAGAAGGAGTAAAAGTCAAGAATTCTGAAATGTTATTGGTAGAGACTGAGGAAATATAGTTAAAATAAACACATACAAAGACAATAAGTACCATTAACTACAGACTTTATCTAAAAAATGGTTTACAGAAGAGACAAAGATCATAACTTTGACTCCTATTATGCAAATATTTCTTTGTAGTAGGTAGGAAGAATGAATTAAATGCTCCCTAAAGACCAGAGCTCTATCTGGTTGATGTTTTTGCTATAAAATAGTAATCTCTTTAAAACATAAGATAAATGTATCACTAAAACATTTGGCTGAAACTGACCTGTGACATTGGTCTGGACAGTCCATGACTTTTGTCTTCTGGTGACCATGAGAGAATCTGTACACTAAATGGTAAAAAAAAAGATAAAAAAATAGGCATGTCATATTCAACTATAGACAGAATAATTATTGCATTACTAGTTCAGCACTACAATAACTTTCACCATTACATAATTGCACGCACACACACACATATACACACATATATATACATATATATATATATATATATATATATATACATATACACACACATACACACTCACACATATATATATATATATACACACATACACACACACATAAATCACTCATTATTCATGATTCTTACAGTTATGGGCCTGTATATTTTGCAACATTATGACTTTGAATTGTGAAGGTATGTGCAGCATTTGATGAAATTGCCATTCTGGAAATTAACTGTGTCCTAGTGAAAGTTATTCAGGACCGTAAAAAAAGAGCTGTGCACCAAAAGGCCTGGTGAACGAGCCACATTCTGCCTTTTGTTTCAGTGAAAGGTAACAGTGGAATGTGATATCCTGAGCATATCCTTTGTTGCTGCAGTACAATCCCAGAGCTCCACGTTCTGTCTGCAACTGATGTTCTGTCAGAACCTGTTTTGGAGTCAAGAGAGTACTCACTGTAGCCCCCTGTTTACATACAAGCCAACTTTAAATGTTTCTAAAAATCGCCCATCTGAAATGTGAAGCTCAAAACACTGTCGAGGTTTACTCTTGCCTGGCCTGTGTGCAATCGAGAACGACAGAGCTACCTCTTGTTGGAGATGGTAGTCAACATTTCTTTCCTTTCAGGACTGGCTGGAGGATCTGGTGAATAAGGTCCAGGAGACAGTGATGCAGGGCTAAAGATGGTGTACTCTCTGTAGTTCTGGTTCTCGTCTCGGCTGACTATTACTGCCTCCTACAAAGCATTATGTAAACTTAATACATCACACATAAAATAAGTTAATTCCTTCTAAATGAGAAGAGTATAACCAAGCTGTATTAACCTACAGCACAACAGTTGAAAAAAAACAACAACAACTATGTTCCAAATTTACCATTTATCAAAAAAACCTCACCTGGAAGCGACCAATTAGTTTTTCTGGAGTGTTGATGCCATTGGTTTGCCCAGGGCTGGATGGTTCAGGTCTTAGAAGAGACAGACAAAAAATAGAGTTCAGTTACTTTTGTTATTTAAATTCAACACTGTTATCAGTGAGGAGATGGAATAAAAGTTTTAACATTATAGTATCAATTAACAGGTTGATTGCTAGTTGATTGGTTAACTGGTCAAGATCTCAGTTGAATGCAGTGTTCACAAATTTTTCTAATAATATTCTCTATTTATATTACAAGTTGCTCAGCAAAGCATTACAGGTGTTTTGTAAGGGAGAACAGAAGGTTGTGTCTACTCCTCATATGTGGGCTAACTATCTATAAAACCAAATTAAATAAGCTTTAGCGCAAAAAAGCTGCTCAGTCTGAATGTATAATAGCTCCGGTCTACATAAACTTTCAGTCGGACCTAGCTTGTGAAGAGATTGTCATAGTTGATAAGTCATATTTTTTCTTGCACTCAAAACAAAAATAAATATCTGTAAACTTTTCCAAAAATTAAATGGACCCTCATGTTCATGTTTTTAACTTAATGTAACATACACTGTCCTTTCTGCATGTGAGGTTAGGCTGTTTAACTGTGACAGACGGCCTCTGTTTTGCTTTTCTGACGGCTCCTCATCTTTTACATTGGGAGCTTCTGCATAACTAATTTAAATAGAAAACATATTCTGCAAGCAATCCTTGAATTTGAAGAGGTAAATATGGGAAAGTACAACTGCCAATGCAAACATACTTTACCCCCTGGCTGCAACGCCAGAGGCACGGTGGCTCTTGGCTGAGCCTGGGGTAATGAGGCTCACAGGAAGGCCTGGATGCCTGTGGTAAATCACCCAGAAACACACCTCTTGTGGACTAAACTGCAAATACTTTGTACAGGGGAGAGGTGGCAAGTAGATGGAAACTGATACAGAAGACATGAGACATTTCTTCCCTTTGGAGTAATACTAATGTGGCAAGCATAAAGAAGTTTTTGCTCAGAATACCAAGAGCAGTTGGCCTGTAAATTGTGCAAACACCCAGATTATTTTGCAAATTTTAAAAACTATTAAACGAAATGAAATCCCAATAACCCTATAATAACTTCTCGCAGCGTTTCTAAGGAATGCAAGTTAATTTTATTATTACCCTTTGACTTAATTACACTCACACTGCAATTGTTTAGTTTAGTTTAAAATGACCAACAACACATCCTTATTTGCAAAATTGCAATACTAAAGCAACAGCTTGACTACTGGCCAATAATGGTTAGCGAAGCTTTCCTTTTCCTATGGTAAATGGTACCCACTACTTGGAATTTAACTCTGACTATTATTTTTAGTTGTGGATAATCGTTTCCTTCTTGACATTACCATACTTCCAGTGGGTTATTAAAGTCCTTTTGCTGTTCTGGGCATTTAAAGGGGCTGTAGGCAATTGCATAAGTGCACAAAAAATGATAAATAAGCAAACTAATGACTAACTTGCTAGCTGATCTGCTCTGGCTTAAGCTCGCCTTTAACTTAAAAATCTCCCTATGCACATTACACACAGCAAGACAGGGAGAACATTCTAAATAGAAGGAATTTCTGGTCAGAGTGCTGACTGTGACTTCATAGTTTAGAGCTTATGCAACATTTATCAAAGGTTAAACCTTTAGCCCATATTACCTATTCACAGCTGTTAGAGGAGACCTAGATCTGTCACGCACACCTGCCTGAGGCAGATTCCTTGAATGTGTGTACCAAGGAAACTTCTCAACTCCATGGTCTTTAAGGTGAAAACACTTAGGCCCACCCATCATCAAGTGCTAAGTCACGTGTACTTGTACAGTCTGATGCTTAGTGCACTCCAGCAGCTTTGTCTGCATTAGGTTTAAACAGTGTATTGTTTGTTTTTACATAACATGATGATAGGTTTGCTAGGTTTGATAGTATTTACATGACAAACACCTACCTAGTTCCTAATTCCCCTGAATGATGCAGCAGCTAAATCCACTTTCCAATTTCCATCATGTGTATGGGATGTTGCACAACCCTTTTCAAAAGCCAACACAATTTGTGTGCTGACAGTCCATAGCTGCATCAAGACTTCTTTGACTATCAATATGTTAAGTTGAAGAAAAGTGATACAGTAGGTCTCAAGCAAGACAAAAAACTAATTGAACCTTACAGATTGTGCTACTTTATGCCATCATCTGTAAGCTTGTCAAGACATCATTTAAGTAAATTAAATTTTCTTGTTGAATAACATTAAAACAGGAATCTGCACTGGTGATTTCATGCTAAAAGGTGACGACAGTTAACAGAGTTGGATTAAAGACATGGTAGATAAACAGTGGCATTGTTGCAAGGAGTAATGGTGTTTTTTCTGGCTTGGTGAGAGACATGAGGTCAGTTGGGAAAAATTCACTCACAGGGGACATGGGACATCCAGGGAGGAAGTATGTGAAAGTGAATTAGTGCGAGAGGGAAGGCAGGTTAAGAAGTCTGTGTGCATTACGATGAAAAAAAAAAAGCCGGGGGAAAAAGTGACAAGATATTAGAATTTAGTACGAACCTTTAATCTAAATGCCAGCCAAAAGCTGCCAGGGCTGAGAGGAAAACGTTTTTCAAGAGCCAATTTGCTGTCATGCAGACAAGGTCTTGGCAAACCTCAAAAGAGTGTTTAGTAGGAAGGCCTGGGTAAGGGGACAGTGTGGCTCTGATACATGTTGGCATTTCCCCTGATTACAATCACTTGTTTTGTTTGGATTGCACTTCTATGATGAAATTGAAAAATGTTGAGGAAAGAAGCTGGGAGACTACAGTCTTGGGAATTCAACATTTTTTTCACAGAAGATTAAATATATACTGTGTGAAAAAAAAAGCATCTGTACCAACCATTCTCTCTTCATCAAAGTGGGTGCACTTCCTTTAAAAACATTAAAAACATTTGTTGTATCTTCACTGACAAATTAAGATTCCTTTTTCTGACCATAAATAAAGGTAAACATTTTGAGAAACTGCAACAAGCAGTGTGATTTTGGCGTGTAATATCTTATAAAGTATACTTGTTTTTTTTTTACAACAAAGACTGAATGTTTTGTGCAGGATCTTTTATCCATTACAATCCTACCTGTCCACCACTAGCTGCAGTTGGGTCTTAGAGTTCTTGATCTTGTTCTGGGCTTCTACATTGAGCATGTCGACCGTGTTTTCTCCATTGATCTCCAATATAATGTCACCAGGTTGCAGGTCGGCCTGTGATGCTTTGCTGCCCCCATTGACCTGTTAAACAGAACAATGAGCTTTAGTCTGGTCCTTGTGGCCCCCAGTTTATTTTCTAAAACTGAAACATTCTGCATACCTGTGTTGAGTGTGGGTGGCTTTGAGAATGGTTGGATGTGTGGATACTATCATTAAAATTAACATGTCAATAAAAAGGTGTTGAAGAGTTGGCTCACGATTGAAATGCATTTGTTTGCCTTCACAACTCCTAACAAGTATAGTAAATAAATAAAACAGGCTCCAAAGCATTTCAAACACATGTGGAAGGGGGCATTGCTGGTCAACAGTGGGTGGATTCATGACACCCTTGGGGAGAAGTCATAAGTGTGACTCCACTTGATGGTTTGACTGGGCTTGACCTTTGCAACCAGCCTCACCGCATGTCAAAGCCAATGCTATACAACCACATCAGAGTGAATTCCACACTAATGGGCCGAAACACAACGTCCAAGCCACCAGTCTCAGCACGGTTCCTGTGGCTCAGGACTATACACCCAAACACACTGAATGAATAAAACAAAAGAGAAAATGAAAGGATAAAGCTGCAACAGCCTTAACATTGGTAGGCAAACACTGACTGTGGTGGCAAATGTAATTTTCTCACATAAAAACAATACAATATCAAGCTACAAAATTACAGAAGTAGAAATTCTAAAATTTTTACTTTACAGAGCATTTGGGAAGTCATGTGTCATCACTCATCACTGGTTTTCCTCAGCCTACCTCTGGTTAACTGTGTATATTTGTTTTTGTTTGCAATTAAGAAATAGTTAAGATACCGACATAGGGTCATGAATTTGCTCTATTCTGCATAAGAAACAAGAGAAGAGAGGCTTCACAGGAGAAGAGATTGTTTTTTTTTATCTGTAATTCTATAATAACATTTGAATGTGTGTCTTTAAAGGTATTTTACATCCTGGCTCCAGGAGGTTTACATACCGCATAAATTCTCACATGTCATTTACAAACATGGTCCAGGTATTTTACAGCCAGGTTACATAGTCAGACATACAAACATATGGGTTATGTAACAAAGATCTATACTACGATTCATCACAGTTGACGAATTGTTGCGTTCACACATTACTTACAATATCAATACCTCCCTGAGAGGTAACAGCGGAAAGAATGCAAAAGAAAACAAAAATACAACAGTCATCTTTCCAGCACATCACAAAAGTGATGCAGAGAGAAAGAAAAATAGGCACCTGCCTATTTGTAAGTTTGGTCAAGCAAGACAGCTTGTTTGTCAGCCCACTTAAGAGACAATTATGCGTTGCTAGGGTGACCCGAAAATATTGTTTGTCCTTTCTGATAATGGCACACCTGGTTTCTCACAAACCAAGAACAAATTAGGTTTCTTTCTTCTTCAGAGCCCATGTGTGAGACAAACAGAGACAAGCTATGTTTCAGAACTACCAGGAATGAAGGAGGGCATCAACACCGTCTGTGTGCCAAGGGACAAACTACTTCAGATGGTCCAACTCCAAAGTTTTCTACATGTGAAGGAGGTGGGGGTAAAGGTTAATAGTGGGCTGGGGCTAACTGTTTGTCAACACTGCATGTTGCACAGAACAATTCCATTGATTCATTGTTTTTACTCTGCAGGAATTCATGTTGCTTGATATTTCTCACTTTCTCAGTAAGAAAAGTGAAAACCGTAATGGTGTTGTTTACAAGACAGCAGCAACAAGATCTGTCTGAAAAAACATTATTCAAGAAAAGGCATGTTTTTCTAACCTAACAGCAGGTAAATTATAAAAGCTTTTGATGGGGCTTAGAGCTCTAAAGTATTAGTATCCTACCATATATTCCCCACAAATCACTCTTTATTCTGTGAAGAGCCACTTGGGAAAAGGCACTGGAAAAACCCAGACTGGGGTGATGATACGATTTGCAATGGGCAGACCTGTGGCATGCACAAGTTGGTTTGATTAACATTTCCTGACAGTGTTTACTCTGTGCTGTTTACTTACCGTGGAAATGTTTCTATTATTTCAAATACCTAATTTTTAAAGCAGTTGCAAAGAACAAAATGCAGAATGTAAAAACAACATGCATGTGCTTAGGCACCAACATTCTAATTCATGATGTGTAGCAGTTAAAATCCACATGCACACTCGAGACAAGAACTCCCTGAACTCCCACCACTGTAACTGTAATCAGCAGTTTCCTTCTAATGTAATCTATTTCCATTCTTTTCTCACAGGTTGGGTAGTCAAGGAAATAGGTGTGAAACAGCCTTCAGACACAAACAAAGACAAGAAATAGTCGCAGGGTGGAGGAAGTTGACTTTGCATGACATGCCATTTCAGATTGTTTTGACAAAAACAGAGGATATGGTTTGATAAAGAGTAACACGGTTTGGAAAGAGTACAGCCACTGACAAATACCTTTGATACTGTTATGGCCTTCTTAAAGTCCCGCCCTCCATATATTCTAAAGCCCCATGGTGATGGGCCAATCAGGTTCACTGTTAGCGCCATGAAGTGATCAGGTCAGCAGTCACGTATCCCAATCCTAGAAAAATAGGTGGAATAAAAAAGACACGTCAGAAATGTGTGGGAATTACACTTTTTCTTGGATGAATACATTAAGTCAGAGGTACAGTTTGGCTAAAGCTTAATACTGTACCACAAGTGAAGACAGTGAACATTTGCATTAGTCGCCTTTCATCTCCAGCACCCATTCACTTCAATTGGACTAAGTCTGGTTGACACAGAGTGTGTAACCATATCAAAGAGGAATGAGGAGGAATTTAAAACCAAAGACACATGACTAACTAAAGTGCCTGCAAAGCCACAAAGTTACATTAAATCCAAATGTTCTTTCAAGTCAGGCACAACAAATCCAAACAAAGAAATGTTGCAAATGAATTAATAATGATATTGACGTTTATAACTGACCACTGCAATGTATATCTGTGCAGTATATAGATGAGCTTTTATATGCATATTAGAAGCTAGAGGGTAGTAAGTCCAGCATATAGTTAAATGGGGATATAAACAAACATGTATTTTTTAAAATATAAATAAATATTTCAACAGTGATGTTGAAACATGTATTTATATTTTAAAAAATACATTGGTCTTTTATACATAATGCATATGGATTAAGTAAAAAGTTAACATGAACATTTTAGATTCTAATTTCAAAAAGATTTGTTAATTTTTTTAATTAAAACAAATACAGCATTTGTGGAGCTGTTACTGCACAGTAAGACCATATAATTCATGATTGCTTTATTTCTTTTTTCTTCTTTATATCTTTCTATCTAGCTATGACTATCCATACGTCCATCTATCCGTCTGTCCGTCCATCTATACTGCTTTAGTGGTTTTGGGTAAACTTTTTTTTTTGGGGGGGGGTTCTATTTTTGAACATGTACTGTAGTTGACATTTATCAGCTGTGGTGACAGCCCTGTAATTGCAACAATTATGGGTTGGGAATTTACAGGTTAATAAAAACTTCAACACCTGCACTCTCAAAATTTACACACCAACGTTTTCTTCCAAGGTTTTACTCAGTACTACTCTTCATTTATTAGAAGCATTGCTTACAGATGATGTGTGTGTAAATGGTAGGACCCTTTATTAATACTTAATTAAGTTCTCTCTCAGCTATTAAAAAATAAATTCAAAACATAAAAAACAAGCAATCTGCTTTCGTTACAAATAAGGATAACACCAAAAACATTAAATTTTCTAGAAGCAATTAAAGTTGGTCAAAGACTTATATATTGCCAGTAAAATGATTATAGACCTAAACTAAGGGGGAGTTAGATCTAGGATCAGCCTCACCACTCCCATCAATCTTTGCAAGCACTGGCCCATTATAAAATGTGCACATTCCACAAGTGTTTGGGAGAAGCTGTGCAGACACTGACACTCATTAACAGTCTGGGCCATAATAAGTATGGAGTAACCAGGCTCACCATCATTAAAGTTTCTCTGTGCTTTGGCCTCAAGAAATAAATGATGTTGTGATAATGACAGGGGGAAAGGGGAATGAGGGGGTTCATCGCACTGGTTACCGGTGGTGTCAAATACTTATGTGGACCTCTGCCAATTATATAAACAGAGCATCATTGTCCACTAGACACTCTTATAATTCACTGAGTAAATGTCATCTATTCAAATCGTTAGAAATACTAGGGTTAGATAAGGTCAAAGTGAGAAACAAGCAGCATTGTTTGCACTCATATATGTATGTGTGCTCAATTGGCTTAATTGGCCTTTAATGACACATTCAGATTACTGTGACACTTAGAAGGAAAAATGCACTAGAAACAGTGTAATCACACTTTTTTCATCACAGACAGTTGAATAGTTTCCAAACACATTAAAGGTGAATTCTATTATGGTGACATCTCTTTTAAGGGTGTGCCATTTTGGCAGCAGCAATACACAACGACACAATGACAAGCATTTTAGTCATGAGGTCAATTCCATTGTTTGTGGTTTAGCTGTCAAAAGCCATTACACGTGTGTACGTCAGCATTAAGGTTTTGGGAAAAGGTATTGTAACTGTAACACAAATAACGAATTGGTGACTTATTCTATTAACCTGCATGCTGACAGACTGAGGTCAAAACAGATAACACAAGCCAAACAGGACCAGAGTCACAACATCAGCAGCAGTTCTTTGACTTGATCAGAAACCTCTGCTTTAAAACTCTAAGACAGCATAAATTGGAGTAAAACTGATTTAAACCATACTCCCTAATTTGTCCCATAGTTTGTGATGACAAAAACTGAAAAATTAAAACACAAACATATCTAAATGTATATGGTTGAAAACACTAAATTTTTCTTACACTGAGGCAGATAACATTTTGGTTTTCCCATGGAATTTCTTACTCTTGGGAAATTTTTGCCTGTTGTGTACACACTCTCCTATGTCAAAGGCAATTATCTTCTGTCCCATCTATGAGATATAGGCCCAAAGGAAAATTGAGATAGTGGTGGTATGAGGGGAAGAGAAACAATTTGGATCTATTACTTAATGCTCCAACATGCAAACAGCCTCAAGGGTTTCATTTTATAGTCATACTATGAAAGTGAAATGTGTAACATTTCACACGAGTTTATTAGCAAAAAAATTAATTTTTACACTTACTCTGAAGCTTGTTTCTAAATGATTTGAAATAAAAATAATTTTATTTTTATTTATATTTTTAGAGTTAGTATGCAGTGGACTACTCTATAAGTTAAAAACTAAATTTGGTTGTCAACTGGGTTATGTATGGGTTTAAAAAATAATTTTTTTATAGTATTGTGTTCTTTTTAATGCACATTTGTGGGTAACCGGACAACTAGCCGACCAAAGAAATGTTTATCTGTTCAAATAAAACATAAAATACTTGTTGTAGCCTAGGTGACATGGTAATATCACATTCCATGCACCATCATAAGGAAGAGCATGTGCTTTTATCAAATAAACAGTTGGGTCATGTTATCTGTAAAAGGTTACAATCAGGCCACTGTGGTTGTGAATTGTAAATGGGAGACAAAGGTCACACAATAACATTTTACAATATCACCATCACTTGTCTCTAATTATTACAAACTAGACTGCAGGAGCATACACTTTAAACATCACCATATGTCCCTGGTGGTCAGAAGCAGTAACGTTGCATGTCATTTTAGTGAAATAATCATATCTAGGCATGATTGGTGCAACTTGTAGTTCTACTAAAGGGTACACAGGCAGAGGGAGAGGAACCTGCTAACAAGTCTGTAACTGTGTGTAATTAGAGTGAGGCAGAAACGATGACTCACCACATGAGTCAATAACTTTGATCTGCTGTGTCACCACAACAAAGTTATGGCAACTATCAGGGTGGTGTTATACTGCTTCATAGTTATACTGCTTCAAGTTAAACTAAATGTTGGTAATGAAACATATGTAAAATCACTGTTATGGTGATCACATTCGACAAAACTAACCCTGGGAATTAATGCCTCATTTGAACACTGAAAGGAAACATGTGAGCTGTTACTAAAAGTACATTAGTAGAAAAGATGTAAACTGAACAATATTAGGCTCTGTGAGTAAATAAATGTCTGCCTCTCTTGTAAAGTGAAATGTCTCGATGCCAAACTTGGCCACTTATGTCAACTGCTCACCTCTTCCCTGAAGCTACAGAGTGCTTAAAAGAGACAGTTTTATTTCTACTTGAATTTAGGGCCAAGAAGATATTGGCTGGGAAGTGAACAAGTATGGGCGCTTCAACATGCCAAAACTGAGTGATTGGCTAATGAGCATGGCAGACACAATGGATTCGGCTGAGAGATTTGACAGAGGTTCGGTACAACGCAACACTCAATGATCCACTGTAGCTGCAGGGGAATATTCCTGGTATGAATCACACCGAGTCAAAAGCACTGGTGGACATATGCCAGTCTGAACTTTCCACAGCCCACATCACAGTTGTGTGTTGTTGACTGTTGGCTCTACCATGCATGTGTCATAGAGTAAAGCAACCGCACTTGACCTACCTGGACATACACACCCTCTGATTAAAAAGAACAAAACGCAACTACAAGCCTCTCCCTGAAATGGGTAGAGAAGATTAACATTCTGTGCATTCTTACAATAAAGCACACCTAATTGAATCAGAAAAGGTTGCCGTCAATCAGGAGCAAACACTGGGTGTGGGTGTCTGCATCATACTGTATATGGCTGTTAGAATTAAATGCTAATGCATCACAAATTTAATTATAGACTGCTCTTGTCACTTTGTGGTCACTCCCTTTTAACTAAAGGGTGTATGCGCCTGTTTCTGGGATGTAACAGTTCTGGAACCATGAACGAAACCACGCCACGAAGGTCTACAAGCACCAACAGACAGGATGTCACTTGTTCAGGATTTATTATCTGTTTTGTAGACTATGGACTTTTAATGCTTCCTTTAAAAATATATTTCAACAAACAAATTTAAAAACAAATGTTTTCATTATTTTAAACATTTCAATTATTCTTTCTATTAGAAGAATATCAGGAGTGAAAGCATCAAATCAAAGTTACCATTTTCATATTACACACTTCCAAATTATGGGGTGGCTAACAAGCTGATTTAAACTACTATTGGGAATACTATGAAGGCAAATTGCTGCGATACTGCCCTTAATTTGGTTTAACTGTATCTTCGTTAAAAAAAAAGCAATTTCTATAATATTCTATCATCTTGTCAACATTGCTGCAGAACTTGGACTGGATTGTGTTCATTGTTACAGGCATAAAAGCCAAGGACACTGGTTCCACTTATCTCTACCCTCTTCATCATTATCTGCTGATCATGCTTGTGCTGTTCACGCTCAACAGACTCCCAGCAATCAGGATGCTTTACCACACCCTCTACATGCTTAAGTTGTTTCTCCACACAAAAGACAAACACTCTAAGCCTCACTATGTTCATTTGTTGCACACGCTCCAGATTAACTGCTGCATCTCATTCAGAAACCTGCATGATACTTGGTAAAGTGATTTTCTTGGTAAAATTGCTAACATCCTGTCTAAAACACTTTGATGTAATATCAGAGATGTGAGCCAAACTTCTGTTTCAGCTTGTTTTCACTAAAAACCAGTAATGTGAGACAAGAACCGTCACAAAAATGGTCATGTACTAAGCAAATAATATTATACTTCCTGCAAAAGTGTGCATATACAGGTCACTCATGAGCTTACAGTTACTAGAAAAAAACAACACTGTGATATTGTATTTGGCTTAAAAGACAACAATTTCCACCCTGTGTAAATGTGCCATTGGTTCTTACTCTAAAAGAAAAGCTTTAGGTTCTCAAAATGGTTTTAGTTGAGCATATCTAACGACAGTAATGTCACAGTGACACCTGCACTGTCCTGGTAAAAAATGCACCCCATCCACAGCTGTCTCTTCATTGCCTTACTTACTCATGAAAACAAGATGTGGTTTTTGGTAAAACTAACACACGTTAGACTCAACACATACAAATACTATAGACACACCAGAACCGTCTATTGTTCTGAGGTGAAGATGTCACTGTGGAAAGCCAAAAGAAAAGTTCACAGTGACCTCACGCAGTTTGAGGTAAACAACCAGAGCCGCTGTGGTGCAGCTCAGTGTAAAAAGAAACTTTGCCAGGTGTCTGGCAGCAGGCACCAGACAAGAAAAGGCAAAAATGACTGTAAACTGTTTATCCTAAGCTGTTCTTAACATTTGGAGCTTATTAATTCTGACCTTATGAATACTGCTGTTGTGCAGTGCCCCTTGTCTAACCTGGCCACTTGTTCTGCCTCAGGTAATTGTTGTTTAAAATCATTAAATTTCAGTTAAGTTTGTTGTTTGTTTGTTTGTTTTTAATATGACAATTTTTCTGATGTTCTGCAGGTTATAATCCTGCCACTACAAATTATGCATACGAAGAAGGAAGCAACATGTGAATTGCCTGGCAAGAGGACCAACTGGATAACCTACCATAGGTTACCGGGGTATTGTTAATTGTTTTGTGTTAGTTTTTTGTATAAATACACACACACACACACACACACACACACAAACATATATACAATGATAGTTTAAATCTGAGTGATAAGACTTACAAGAAAGCTAGCTTGAATTTGAACATAAGTGTTCTTGTTAATGTAAAGCCATCTGTCAATTTGGAGGGATAAGAGAAAAGACTGAAGATCCATTTGTTAATAGGACCCAAGTGTGGCACTTTAAAGTTTGCTTATGCTGCATCTGGTCCAGGCAGGCCCTCCACAAATCACATTCTTGAAAAGAGGCATTTACAGGGTACTCTGCAGTAAAACACAAACTTTGTGGGGGCTTCTGTTTGTCTGGTTCAAGTTGTCATCAACTGTATGAGGACAGTGCCTACAGTTTCACCACATATGACATTTCCCACATTTGTCATAGACAGAAAAATGACTGTGTGGTTTAATGACGACAACAAACATGCAATGAGGATAAATAATCAAATTTCAATAAAACAACAAAGATACACTGCAGCAGCCATATTGTGGCACTTTTGTCCATAGTGGTACTGTATGCAACACAAAAACTATAGCACCCAAAGTTTAAACTAACAACAAGACTGTAAACAAAAAAGCTTGGTTTTATTACCATGATTACACAGATCATTGGTTTGGGGTAGAAGTTAATTATGGAGGAAAGGCATGTGGTGAAAGTGCCATCAGTGCAGTCATCATGCACCGTTTTACAGTTTTCTATGTAAACACAATCCACAGTGAACACATTTGGTTTTTCATAATGGTTTAGAGACTAAAGATTATCCATTTGATATAAAAATGCACTTGTGGTCAGACACATGATCACATGACCTACAGTAGCTGACCTGCTTGACATAGCACGTTTTACATTTTTGTGACAATTTTGGTCATACAGGTACGTACTGTGTATGTTGATGCTTTCTCACCTTATGAGTTCTATAGAGTAATACACCTGAAAGACTATCATTTTATAAGCATTATTTTATAAGCTCATGTTTTGTGGTAATATTTGATTAAAAGGTTCGTGCAAAGTAGAATTTCGACCCTTACTTAAGACGATAAACTCTGCTAAAATGCTGCTAAAATATGTAATTAATCAACTTCTTAATACGCGTCAGTATTCTATTATTAAAGCAGTTCGTTTCTTTCATAACTCAATTTAACTCAATCAACTTGTCTCGTCGTTATTTGATAATATTGAATACGTGACACATTACATATTTCCCTAATATTGCCTAACATATGTTAAACGTATGTAAAAAATGTGTTCATATGGTTTGGAGTAAGCATGTAAAGTTGTGGTTCCTTTTTTTAATTTAAAGAGTAGAAACTGCCGCACCTTTTAGGCACTAGTGGCACTTAAACTACTAAAACTGTCACTATTGACGCCATTGTTTTACTTACTAAGTTGAGCGCAGTAATATTTCTTCTTCTTCTGCTCCACCTGTTTTTCTTCAACGACAAGTGAAGGTGAAGGTACCAGGTCCTAGCTCAGAGTTCATTAAACCGCCTTCTCCGAAATTAAAACAACACGTTCCTTCCAGTACGTGCTGTAAGCAAAAGCAGCAGCAGTGATGTACGTCCTCTTGCAGTTTGTCTCCTTCCTTTATTAACTGCGCTGAGGTGGCACGCGCTCAGAACCACACCACCTGTGTCTGCGCGCGCAGGAATCAGCTCGGATGCCCATGTGCTGTGACCAAAATAAGGGCGTGACGTGAACGGTGGGCGTGGTCAGAGCACAGAGGAGGAGAGCGATAATTGAGACGTGTATCTGTCAATAAAGTGCACTGTCAATAGTAATTTGTCGTAGAGCGACCCCTGCTGAAAGTGGAAATACCAAAGACAGACACCTTTGCACGATATGGCCCTCAAATAACTTGGTCGAAAAATACCAATTATAAAACGATACAAAACAATGAACAATATATATAAAAAAGTAAAACGTTTGACAATAATAATAATAATAAAATGTCAAAATACCTTTTTTTCATAATTCTGCTTTTATTTTTGAAATGGAGAATAACAAAACATTAAATTTCATATTTGAAAAATGATATTTAGAGTATAAAACTTTCTTTTTGGAAATTTGTTTTTATTTTATTAAAGCCTTTAAACCCTTTTAAAGGTTTTGCCAAAAAAATCATATCAAAATATCATATTATCAGCATTATCATTAGGTTTTTCAACACCTTTACCACAGTAAATATTTTGGTTGGGTTTTTGGGTGCATTTCAAATAAATGAGAAAAACAAAAAAACATTTTAGTATCACTCTTAATAGATTTAAAAAGTGTGTACCATGCATTAAAGAAGATACAATTTTCATAAAGCAAATATATATTATATTTTCAGTTGGACAAAGCTTACAGTCTGTACAATCATATTGTGTTTTCGTTTCTAAAACATCATTGGTTTTAGATTAAAATAATGTATATATCTAAAATAAGCACAATGACTTAATGGAAAGAACATTCTGGCACAAATACGAGTGATCTGAACACTGTAAAAAGCAGTGGCAGCAAACACAGCAGAGAAGAACTTAGGGGATTTTTCAGTGCAGAGTAGCAGAAGTAAAATGGTCAAAATTGGCACAAAGAGTATCACTTCAAAAATACCATTACATTTTCCTGCTGTGGCAGCAGGGATTTATCATGGAGCCTTTCAAAACACACAATAAGTCTCAATAGGACATTAACAAAAACCAGTACACAATCTCTTTACTTTAAACTTTGGCTTTTCTCTCCAAATCAAAAAGGATATATGGCATGCAAAACAAAAGACAAAGTATATTAAAAAAACTCATTTTTGAAAAGAAAAAAATGATAAAAGATTTGCTCTGTGGGTTTATTGAATTAACCTGAAACAATATTACTAAAAACATATATTTTACAAAAAAAAAAACTTGGCATTTCATAATCAGTATTGCATTTCTCCTGTTTCCCACAGTAAGCTTTTATCTCTTGGATAAACTACAGACCAATGCTTTTTCTAAATAATCATTTCAACCTTAACATTCTGCGTTTACAAATTTTTCTTTGGCAACTAAGACTCTGTTGAGACTTGTCTAAAACCTGACTTAAACTTCTCAGTGATTTTGACTAGTACCCAAGCCCTGGGGATTTGATCTCATTTTTTTTTACGACTATATAGTTGCTCCACTCATATTCCACTCTTACCTTCCTTGCAACTTTCACATGCAACTTCTGGGAACTTCACTTTACCTTTCTCTGTGCGCCTCGGATTCAGACTCACACTTTAAATCTGAGGACTCAAATAATAGAACATTTCTTCTATGACTTGGCGCTCAACCTCTAGAACATGACAAAACCAAAAAAACCTTAGGATATGCAACTAATAGTTGGCTACAATTATTTTTGGACTCATGGTTAAAAATGACAAAAACCCAAATCGGACTCAACTCAGACTTTCCTTTATTATCCTCATCCCTGACTCAAAAGTTTTGGTTTGGAGACCGAAACCAAAACTCAATTAGAACTTTTACTGAGTCATTTGACTTGGAATATAACATTACAATTTACTTTAATAAGCACTTGAAATAGAAATTGGTGGAAAGGTTTTTCATTTCAAAACAGTTTTCATTTCTTCAAATCAAAAATACACTTTCATGATACAGTCTTTTTAAAACCTTTCAGATTGAACAGCAGTAATCGTATTGAAACATTTTTGGCTCCTCTGAACACATGGGCATGTTCTTCCCAAAAATGCCCAGGAATTGTATTGTTTTTTTCAGAGATCTAAAAAATAATTTGGAGATATTTAAAGAAAATATTAGTTATCAAGAAGTTGCTACAGAAAAAGTGTGTTTTCATTTCAAACTTCTCAGCAGTGGTGTGTGATGTGACTCTGGTGACACAAACCTAAATGCAACATCATACTATATCAGGACTTTCCCTCTGCTCAGAGGAAAAGAATGTGATTTTTCCTGCAGCTGCAAATAGCTGCGGAACAAAAATGACCATTCTTTGCATCAGAAACAGTAGCATCAGCATTTCCCCCTCAAATGGCATGTGTATTAAACACTGCAACACACACACACACAGACATGTGCAGGAAGGTGACAAACCACACACAGTGCCCCTGACATTTCTTATGTTCTGGGAAAACAGAGTGAAAAAGTGAGTGTGACTAAAAGCAAACCAGAATTTGGAGTGTGGTGAGTAATGGAATGAGCAAATATAGCTGCAGTGTCAAAGTTTCTCTTTTGGTGGAGTCGGCAGGAGTGGGGAGTTTGGTCTCTTTTGAGTCCAGGAGGATGTGGGCATGTGGGAAGTGAGGGAAAGTCAAACTGGTGCTACATAATTTCCAGGAAAAGTCCCAAACGCACGAGTCCTATCTGACGTACCTGCAGAAGAGGGGGGACGTTCTGTGGTCACATGACTGAAAGAAGAACACATTTAGGCCACAAACACACTGTTATAGATACAGTAGAGCTGCATGTTTAAAAATGTCCACTAGAGGGAGTACTGTTGCCTTTTTTTTTGAAGATGTTTTGCTCTTGATGAATGATTTTATTACTACAGAAATCATTAAAATCTCAAAGAAAATTGAGAACTTTCTTCCTTTCTCTCTATCCCTCTGCAGATATCAAGTTGTTTCATTTTATAATATTAAGATGTACCTTGTCACTCTTACCTACAAACCAGCCATCATCACACTTCTCCATCACTTGTACAATGTCTCCTTCTCTGAGCTCCAACTCGTCAGTGTTCTGTGGTTTGTAGTTGTAAACCGCTTTGTATCTAAAACTGAAGATGCAACAAATCACAATTACATTGCAGTGTTGTGGAAAAACAGTGTAATTACACATACAGTATATGCATTGCATGAGACCTACGGTTGGCGTTGCACTGCTGCTGTACTAGGGCTGTTTGGAGCCGGTGAGTGCGGCAAGGAGTTGACATGTGGATTAGACTGAACGCCCTGAAAACACATACAGCTTAAGTCAATGTGAGATCAGAATACAATGATTCCTGATCAGCCTGACATCACAAACAGAAGGACTTCAGCGGAGAACATGCAGTGAGAGCAGACCTGTGAGGGCTCAGTGGGTCTGGAAGTGTTGGCTGGTGAGGTTCCTGTTCTGTACGTGGACACTGAAGACTGAGTGGAGTGTGAAACTGCTCTATCTGTGGAAATCTGGTTTGGAGGATGTGTCCCAGACCAGGGACTATTCTGGGTGGTGGGTGAAGCAGTTTTGTAGGTGCTCTGTGGCCAGTGATAGGTGGTTTCTTTGGTGACGAGTGTCTGGGTGGGAGAGCGTGTCTGTGAAGATGGACTGGCATAAGGTAGAGGTGACGACGGCTTCAGTGGGGAGTGTTCGGGCCTGGGGCTCAAAGACGTGGGTGTAAATGGTGAACGTGGGCAAGGTGAGTGGAGTGGACGTCCTGGACTATGAGGTCCAGGGGAAACAGGGGACATGGGTCCTGTTGAGTAGTCGTCTGTGGAGTACTTGGTGCGAGGCATCTTGTTGACCTGAACGTAAGTAGCTGGGAAGATTCCGCTCCGACTGGTCCCTGAGATTCTCCCCTCCAACCACTTATCATCAACACGCCTGGTGATGTTGATCATTTCACCCTGCCAAAGAAGTAGACTTTAAAAAACTGTTAAGTTGGAGAGCTGAGTGTAGAACATTTCCACATAAGCTGTGTAAATTGTTTTTTTCTTTTCTTTATGATCACCTATGAAATTTCAGTGTCAAACCTTCTGGTCATGTTTTGTTTTGTTTCTGTTTTTTTTACAACAGCTCATCTCATAACCTCCAGTTCAAGTCCAGTTGAAAGCAACAAAAACCCTTTTCTGCAGTCACATATATAAGTCAGCCGTCAATCAGTCAGAACCAGGGTTCAAGTACTCACTTTACGAAAAGACAGTTCTACTGGTAGGTCAGCGCTGAAGTTATAAAGAGCAACAGCCTCTCCATAGTCCAGCACCTGAAGAGTGGGGGACTTAATCGGAGTGGGCTTCTCAGTAGGAGGAAGAACCTACAGACATAAAAAAAATATATATATATATACATATATATGTATATATATATATATATACATACATACATATATATGTATATATGTATATATACATATATATATAGTCTCAGTGTCTCAGATACAGCAGGAGCAGTGATGATAAAACATTGATATGGATATATGTATATTTATATTTGACCTCTACATAAGTTGTAGGAAAAATTCCAGCTCTTCCGTGATGTTCTCCTTCGAACCAGTTAGCATCAACCTGTCTGTGGATGTAAACAATGTCTCCCTTCTGAAGTGTGAGTTCTCTGTGGAAACAAACCAACAACAATAATCATTGTTCTTCAGTTCACTGTGGACATTAGCTGGGGCGGAGGGTTCGCAGTGCAACTCACTTTGGTGACTGAGCCTGGAAGCTGAACTTGGCTCTGGCTGCTTTCATCTGTTATATATAACAGAAAATCAGTAAATTAATTTACTTACTTGACAATATTTGCACGTGTAACCTTAGAGAATCTATTTGGATCAGAAAAACAAAATGCCAGAGAAAATTAAATTTGAAAACATACCTTCTTCTCCTCTTTCTTTGGTGGAGGCTCCATGGTTTCATTTGTGGCAAAAAGACGCTCTACTGTGAAAACACACCGTAATGAGCCGGGCTCGTGCAGAGCAGCATTGTTTTGTTTTGGTATGTGTAGTTAACAGCTTTGATAGTTGGAGTATAGGTCCAGAGAGGATGTTGTGTTTCAGGAAAAACAACTGGACAAAGCTAATCTTTAATCTCCAGCCCTACTTCCTATTTTTGCAGGCTTCCTCCCCACCCTTCTGCAGCAGTTACTGTTTCTGTTGGAAAGACCTGCTTAAGCTGTTCCCTGTTCATGTGAGGCTGATCAGTGATGTGAAACACAGAAGCAGAAAATGTCAGTCAGCCAAGGAGAGAGGAGGGAGAGGACTGTCGGGATACTACAGTACTTTAGAGTTTACCCTAGATACCCACAGAGCAGAGAAACACCATTTGTACTTTGTTTGTCAAAAAGTATCAGAAATTAATGTATATTTGAAACAAATAAAACAGAATTGTGACTCTAATTTTGACATTTTGATGTTTAAATAAATAAATGCAATACAACATACGAGTCAGGACTTTGTATGATGTAGCATATATATATGTGTGTGTATATATATATATTAATAGATGTTGTATTGATACTTATAGATGATACTTAAAATTACAAATATTTTGGCTTTATTGAATAAAGGGTTATTTAGTAAAAAGTGAATGTGAAAGTCAATCATTTTGGGCTTTTTTTTATTATTAAATGTGATTTTAGAGTCTTATTTGTGATAATCTCTTTGACTTTCAGTCCTTAGAAACATTTTGTAGGAAAAAACACCTAATGTGATCATGTAATCATTCATGGTTTAAAACCATTAGATTCAAATATAAACATCTGTGTCCGAGGCAACTACTTATTAAACACACAGAAACCATGTGTTTATTTCGGAGGAGGAAGTGTAGGAAAGTCTGTGTTTACCATATGAGGGAGCAGAGGTCAGTGATGTGGCCACAGATCGATGGAGAGGCTGCTTTGAAGCTGATAATTGGCTGAAAGAAAAAAAAGCAGAGAACTTTCATGTGAAATATCACAGTTTATTAACTGTGATATTAATATTATATTATAGAAGGAAACGTTAACGATGGCATCAGAGATCAAACAAGCAGACTAATAAAGTCAGAGTCAGAGAGAGTTATGGTTCATTCTGGACTAGAGTCTCTCCTGTCAAGATTCTTTCCTGGCATTCCCAAAATGTCCAGAGAGATTGGGTAAGTGACTGACTGACAGATGACCAGTTCAGTCGTATTTTTAGTTCTTTTATCCTCACAATTTTGGAATAAAGTTTTTGGCCTGATTGGATGGTTTGGCGGGCCAGAATTGGCACACGCACTGCTAGTTGATGATTGCTGTTGTATGTAAAGAATGTACAGCATTAATGAGAACGGGATTGTTTGAAACACTTTAATCACACACTTGAATAATATTTAAACATTTGTCAATGCAAAGACGTTGAAGGTGTCAAACCCTTAATCTGATTTAACTGGTACTGCTGCACACAAGCTGCATCTATACATTTTCTTTAGGGCGGAGCCAGACATATAAAGGGGACTGATGATGTAACATCTTCCAATCCAGATGTCCAGGCTCCTCACTTAGAAGCACTGAGTGTGTTTTTATTCTACAGCTGTACAGCACATCTGTTTGCTGGTTTTCCTAAACTGGATAGAGATAATACAAATAATCACACAGCTGACACAGACGTGTTGATAACACAAAGTGACTCATGTGGCACTGGACTGGATGAATTTCGAAGCTCTCATTTCCCCCACAGCTGTGAAATTTCATTCATGATCAGAATAAAGCAGCAACTTGTTTCTGAGTTACAGTAAGCTGGATTTTTCCAAACATGTTTGCCTGTTTTCTGACTCTCACACATTTTTGTTGCTAGTTGGCCCACAGAACGATTGCCCCAGACAACATAAAACTGTGGGCAGAGAATGACAGAAGAAGAATACAGAGCAGAATATAGCTTTGTTCATTTTAGCTATGTAAGGGAGCTGTTCAAAGACACCGTTGTTTGTAAGCTGTTTAACTATGAAATAATCAATTTTGAATTAATTTTAAAGCAATATAAATAATAACCAATAATAAGATATTCTTTCAGTTGTATTTGACATAATGACAGTTGTTTATTGTTTACTATTTTATATGTGATCAGTTAATTCTGTGTGTATACTTACACAAATGCTTCATTTAGGTTTTGTTCTGCCCATTAATATTTTTTTTTGTGAAAAACAAAAACCTTTGCAATATAGACATAGATAAAGTAGTTCTTAAACAACATATGTTGGATGTTGTTATAACTGTGTCCATTTCTCGTTGATTTGCACAGATTGGAATCGTTTCTTACGTGCTCCACAGTAAGGCAACATAAGAGGAGGATTTGGCTTCTTTCCCAGCTCTGTGTTATTTAGAACAGCTAATATAAAAGCTCCTTCTTCCACTAAAGCAGAAAGGTCAAAACTCATGACATCGACTTAGCAAACCACAGTGAAAGTCCCACTGAGAATGCTTCACACACAGTGACAAATGTGGAATGCTGTCTGCTGTTTGAAGCAGCAAACACTGAACTTGAACTTGTTAAATTCCCTTTCTTTCCAGGTTCACCAGCTTCTGAAACAAAGTGCCATACTGGGAGTCACATGACCCAGTAACAGTGAACCATTACTACCTCAATCCACTCACAGTGCTGCTGGCCTAATGTAAGAGGCAATGAGCAAATTCTTCTGCTTGGTGAAGCAGTTTCTAATAAGATTAGGGAGGAGGGTGTTGTGTTCAGAGCTTTGTTGTACTGTATGAATGACCTGGGACTTTGTCATAGTCATAGCACCATCTTGTTTGTTCATTTTGACATCTAATATTTTTTTTCCTCAGTGTGGCCTTCTGTCTCATGTTTATATGGGTGTCTAATAGTTTGTCTTTTTCTCATATTTATATCATACTCTAAAAATGTTTTGCCATTTGAGAAAATTGAGTAACACCAATGAACTTCCATAAAAACGTACAATATATTAAAAATGTCAGGCATCATGTTTCACCATTCATATGTATTGAGTGCAGAAAGAGCCAACCCTATTTATGACCTTAAAATGCAGAAATAGTTTAGTCAAACTTTTGTGATGCTGTCACTGACCTGTAGTTTGCAGTTCCAGTCTTTGGAGCAGCGGCTGGACCCCGGCTTCTAGCCTCCTGCAGGCAGAGTTAGCATTAACCACAACCATCTGTATGTGAAGGCTCAGAGAAACGCTCACAACAACTCAGACAGAGTAGAGGTGCTGACCACTCCCAAAGGAGTAACAACTCCCCTGGGTCCTATCCTCCTGGAGCTACACTACATTCAGCACTCCTCCTGGTCTGTCTGAGTTATGTGTATGTGTGTGTATGTGTGTGCCTGCATGTGTGTTGTTAGTCAAATTGCAGCCTGAGAAGCTGATTTCATCACACAAGAATCAGGAACAAGCAAAAAAAAAAAAGAAAAAAAAATTATATGTTTGTGTCAGGATAACCTCTAACCAGTGGGCTAGAAATGTTTTATTTATTTTTATTAACTATTTATTTATTTTTATAACTTATTTTAAAGTTAGAGTATACAAGAGTTTCCAAATAAAAAAAAACCCATCTACGATTCAATCTTGCATAAAAAAATATGAGTACAGTTGAGTACAAGTTGTAAAGGTGTACGTAGAGTGTACGTCTGCAGGGAATGTCACCTTCTGCCTGTAGTTTCTCAGCAATTAAAACAAAAAGAAGAGATGAGTGTTGATAGGAGGGCTGAGATTAGCTCACAGCTCCTAGACACACTTTTAATGTAATTCAGGGTAAAACTGAGTCATGTAGATTTCAATCTAAGTTTTAGTTGGATGTGTACTGTCTCAACAGCCAGCTATTCAAATCTCTGGGCACCACAGTACCAACTTGGAAAGCAGAAATTGATGTGTGATTAACTGCTGACTTATCTGGTGGTTCACAGCTGGTCTCCAAATGTACATGTAATATTTGTTCTTGTGGGAAATGCTTTAATCACTTTGAGGCTAAGATGTATCAGTTAAGGTGTTTATGGTTGCAGTTGTACCACCACAGCGCTCTCAAACAGCACTCACTGCACCCCCTTTAGACATTGAGTGAAGCAACATGCTCTGTTTCCCCAACCTTAGCCCCAGACTCCTGCATACCCCAACTCTTTTAAAAGCAATGTCTGCATTTTGGTTTGGCTTGGTGTGTGAGAAACAGTATGAACACAGACAAAATAATTAAAGAGCAAGACAGGCAGGAGAATTCACAGCTGTTGTCCAGGTCACAGAAGAAGAGAAGTAACAAAGTGTGATCAAAGCTTGCAAGCAAAGAAATATCACTAACATAAAATCTTTGTTATGAGTGGGAGGACGAGGGAGTGATGGTAGGTTTTTGATAGATTTTCATTGAGGGTGGGCATGCTTCAGCTGAGAGAGTCAGAAGTGGAGGGCTCAGTACCTCACCCCGGCCTCGATGGTGCGTCTTTTCAGACAGTCTCCTCTCCAGTCCCTGGATCTCCGAGTCCAACTCTGCCTCAAATCGACTCAACTCAGAGACTAGACTGGCCTGAGTTTAAGCAGTGATGGAGCAGAGTTAAGACAGTGACACACAGTAGGGATTTTTTTTCTCAAGTTTGTGTCAGATGTTTTTTTAACAGCATAATGTTATCGAAAGAACAAGGACAGGAAGAGAACCTGTGTCAACATTACTAACCTCAACTGAGGTGGGCTTTGGTTCTTCAGGCTGTGTCTTTGGGGGAAAGTATGTCTGCAGGCAGGAATATGAAACACAGGTCACTAAATGAATGTCACGGTTTATATCTGACCATCTGCAGCTGAAAATTTCAACATCCACAGATTCACAGTTATTGTTTCCAAACTGTTACATTGTTTCAAACCCGCTCTCCTTATTGAAAGGAAGAAACTAAAAACACTCTCTTTAACATTTACACATTGGAAACGAAAAAAGGGACATTGAGGGACCCCCGAAGTTGGATATGACTGGGCTTACCTGGCTTACCAGGTAATATAACTAAGTGCATTTAGTTTATTAGTTTCTCAAAATCATATCTCAAGTACAGCAGTGTTTATTCAACTAGTCAGCCAGTGTCACTTTCACTGTCTGAGAAAAAAACACACACAAATACAAGAGTCATTTCTATAAAAGGAAAAAGAGCCACAGTTGCTGTGCTCCCTCCATACATATTTTTCATCTTGCATTCCATATGAATGTCTCTCTGACTGCCAGGACCTCTCCACTCTGTTGGACGTCTTCCTCTCTACAATCACAGACTAACATATCACTGTGGAGCCACACAGTACCTGTCTGGAGGGGGTGAGAAAGAAGACCTGGCCACTGCCGTAAAGTGGAAATTAAATAAGTCTCCATGCCGTGAGCCATTACACCCCACGAGGGTAACACCATAACACAGATCACAAGACACAATTTTGGATCCTGTGGAAACAAAGACCCATTTTCCCTGTGTATATAGACACAAGGTATAGTGTGCAGAGGATTGGATACTACACAGTTGCCAGAGACGTTACAAAAACTGTGTGGATATCTCCCTGTAACTCAACACACAGACACCTATGACAGCCTCTGAATTTATTACAGCCAGACAACAGGGGTGATTAATAACGTCTATATACTGTAGAAAGTCTCAGTAAAGTAGGACCTAAACCATTGTTTAACAATTCAAATCATAGTTGCTGGTGTAAGAGGTGGTAGAGTTGATGGTGTGTTTGTGTAGTATCTGGGATGTAGGTTTTAAAGATGTGAATGTTAGTGTTGTAAATCTGATATGGTGAAGTGTTTATGGTTCACTATGTCAATAAAATAGATGGAAAAACAAATAGACACCGGAGAATGTCACCTTAAATGACATCGCAACAATTTTGAAAGCTTTGGACACATGCTAGCTATTTGGTGGCTTTATTTAAAAATGTTAAACGTAATAACATTTAGATATCCTTGGGTTATCCTATAACATCAAGCTAACTAACAATTAGCAATTTAAAACTTGATTGCAAGTATCTTTGGCAAAGGTTTTAGTGTTCTGGCTGTTTATCAGCCTTTTTTTTTAAAAGCTAATGCTTTGCAATTTCTGCAGCATGTTTTGGAATACCTTTTTTTCTAAATGTCTCAATTGGATAGGTTTTCGGTATTTTACAATATTTGTGGCTACCTTTGAGGGAATTCTAGGCTGTCACTTACTAGCCTGAGGTTAATTTTGACTTATATTTTACTTTTTTTGATTGAGTAACCAATTAGGTACTTTTTTATTTTATTTTAGATTACCAAAAACTTTCCATTTGGAGATTTCCCAACAATGATGATCAACCCCAGTACCAAAACATTTTTGTGACAGTGTCAACATCTCCAGCCTAAGAAAATGTATACCTCTAAATTGAAACAACTGCTTCAAGCCTGTCTCTGTTATCTTTAAAAACTAAATGAATTTAAAAACAGTGAATATATGCGCTCAAAAGCTGCAAGTGCTCCAGTGAACAACCACACGCCACTGCGGTAAGAACACTTGCGTGAGAAGTAATACAAGGAGTTAAGTCTCTAATCCTCAGAGAGACTGTAACTCATCCTCAAACCTGTTCTGAGAATTCTACACATGGAAACGGTACAATTCTAAAGAAAATTATATATAAAGCTAAACAAAACACTAATACAAATTCTATCCAGGGGTGGTATCAGAGTTTTGAATCGAACAGCCTGTGATGTCGTACCTGGTTTTTGCTGCTGCTGTTGGTCTTTCCTGGTTCAAAGTCAAATATGCTCCTGGGCTGAGGCTGCTGCTGCTTTCCTGGGTCTGACAGCTTATCTACATCCTCACTCCTGAAACACGCATGAACACACACACACACACACACACACACGGGATAGGAACTAAATCATGACTCCATTGTGTGTGCCTGTAAAAACGAATCCAAACTTGTCTTCACTCCCACTCATTTCCCCTTCACTGCTCTTGGCCTGAACTTTGGTTGATGTTGATCTGCAGTCTTTTTCAGAGTAGAAATACAAACCTTAATTTATCAAATATACTTTTACCAGTTTAGGTTAAAAATTTAAATCATTGAGAAGTTTACACCTGGGTAGGTCACACACCCTCATCCTTAAGTGGCACTTTTTAATCTTCCATTTGAGAACTAAAGATGTCATCAAGGTGTTTTTTGCTGTATAAATGACCAACTGCTCACTATCTGGGATCACTGACTGAGTTTCTCTTCATGATGCACCAAATGTTTTCAGTGGAAACAGTTGTGGACGCCATTTACGAAATGTAGAAAAACTTTTTCCTAACAGGAAAAAGTTTTTTGTTGTTTTCTTATTTTCTTCTTCAACTGGTAGTACATGTACAACAAAAAGTACTACTAAACTACAGCGCTATGCAAAAAATGGCCAAGTTAAATATTTATTAAGCAAACGACACTGTTAATGAATTATGCCTTTTACTGTTGGCGAGACAGCACTATATGTCTTGGGTCCAATTTCAAAATCCAGAAACATACATAATCCAACAATAAATAACATTTTATCATGTGTATTATTTTATAATCCTATATATATTAAACCTCGTCAAAGTGGTGTTCATTTTATAAGCACTATGTTGAAACAGGTTTGTTTGCAACTTAATTAAAATATCAGAAGGTGTACAATAATAATGACTTATTGTTGAGCTGTTAAACTGCTTTTCCAGTACATGCTGGGATATGTTTAGCCACAGCGTGACCACCCTGTAGGTGTGTCTACATGTAATCAGAGTGAACTCACCAGTCAGGCAGAGCTCCGTATGGTGTCAGTCTGAACAGATTCCTGTCTGTGTCACTGTTTTCTTCTGCTGTCGGTGTATTGGCAGACTGCAGCCCTGCAGATCAATGCACACAAATGTCTAATTATAAAACATCTATTTGTATCCACAGGCAGGAGAACACTTTAGAGACGTACTTCGGCAACTTACGTTCAGTCACCCAACAATCTGAATCTTCCAGCTCGGATTCTAGTTTTTAAAAAAGGAAAAGAAAATTTTTTTACACAGGTATGTGTACCAGGGAAGTACAATTTTCAAATGGCCAGGGCTAAGTGCTCTACCAGCATTGATAATATTAAATATATATTTACTCAAAAAAAAAACTGAGCATACTTTATAAATACATATGTTGTAGGTGCTATTGCTCACTTTTGTCAGCAGAGGGCCTGATGTACAGGCAAACATTAGGCTGGAACTTGTTGGCCTAGCTAAAACCAAACAACCGATTGCACTTATTAAAATCGCACCGTAAAATGATACTCCGCTACAGCACCCTTGTGGAACATGAAGAAAATAGATTTCTTTCAAAAGCAGAAAACCGAATTTGAAAAATTTAGAACAATGATGAAAATGAAAACAAAAAAGTTTATATCTCATCTTTTAATAATTTTGATACTGTTTAATATGCGTGTAACTAAAGCTAAGTTCGCTACCGCACAGTGTGACTGCTTTGACTGCTTTGCATTTATCTGTGATCTGATGTTTTAATAAAAAAATTGTGATATGTGGACAGTAAAATATTATATATTGTAGCATCCGACCGGACGTGTAATGAATGGCGAGGCACGAACCTGCATTTATTAGTGAACGGTCAATTACAAAACTTGGTTACTGTCGGTCTTAAGCACGCTAAAACAACAGAACGCTCCCGGTCTTACACATCAGCTCAACTCCTCCTTGTTCCATTCACACTCACTCTCAGCCAGGCGCTCTCTGTCATTCATCCACACACATTCAAAGACCATGGAAAAACAGAGAACTCTACCATGAACACCACAACACTCTAACACTACTTCAGGGTCACTACACTGCCCCCCGTTACAAATACCCTCGCCCCGAGGGTCACATAAAAAGTGAGGTAAAGCCCAGGGGCTTTCTCTGTCTTCGAGGACGCCTTGGTGTGAAGAAAGGCGGCCGCGTCTGCAGACCTGTAATAACCTGCTGATGAACAGGGGGTGAGTTAAGGGATGGGGAAGAATGTGGAGAGTTTGTGTGGGAGACAGTCACTGAATCTGAGGGCGTGGCTGTCCTGTTCCTCTGGACAGGTGTTGAGTGTCCAGGACCCTAGTGAGGATGTGCAGGACCTCAGCTGCTCCAAACCTGGAAAACATGCCCTCCACCAGAGCATCTGCGACAGTCCCTGCCTCCTGGTCTGGTATGGCATCCAGCCGTTTTGTAAAATAATCCATGGCAGCTAAAACATAACGGTTGCCCCTGTCTGTGGGAGGAAACGGGCCCATTATGTCTACCACCACCCTATCCATTGGGGCCCCCACTGCCAGCTGTTGGAGCGGGGCGTGAGACTGATCCAGGGGACCTTTGTGTGCTGTGCAGAGGTCACAGCAGTGACAAAAGTCTTCGACATCTCTCCTCATCCGACCCCAGTAGAAACCCTGCTGGACACGATGGAGGGTTTTTGAGACTCCAAAGTGTCCTGGCCCAGCAGTACCATGAGAGGCTTTCAGCACTGTCTCTCTTAGTGCTCTGGGGACCACCACCTGCCACCTCTTCCCCTGTAGCTGGCTCCTTCCAGGCTCTGTGGAGCACTCCCTCCTTCACTCATAGAGCCCCAAACAACCTCGTTCCACTGTGGCTGTTGTCCTGACTCCACCACTGCAGCACGGGGTGCAGATCAGCATCCTACACCTGCTGTGCTCTCCATTCAGGTGAGTCAACCAACTGCATGGAGCCTTGTTCTTCCACACGGAGCGCTTTCTCCCAGACCTCTCTTTTTTTCCCGGTATCTGCAGCCATCGAGAGCACAGGGGCGCCGAGACATAGCGTCAGCGTTGGCATCGCGAGTTCCAGCTCTGTACTCCACTTGAAACACATACGGTGCCAGTTCCTTCAGCCAGCGTGCAATCTGCCCTTCTGGCTCTTTGAAGGACATTAACCACTGGAGGGCAGAGTGGTCAGTTCGGACAGTAAAAAGCACAGATAGTACATGAAGTGGCTAATTGCCCTCACGATAGCCATCAGTTCTCTCCGTGTCACACAGTAGTGCCGTTCAGCTTTGTTGAAAGTTTTACTGAAGTACCCCACCACTTTCTCCCCCTGCACCCCTACCTGACTCAGCACTGCCACCATCCCAACATCACTGGCATCTGTGTCCAAGACGAATGACAGGTTTGGGTCTGGAGGGGTGAGGACAGAAGACTCTGTCATAGCCTTCTTCAAAGAGCTAAAGACTTGCTCGCACTCAGGGGTCCAGGAGAAATCACTGTCTTTCTGCTGCAGGTGGAACAGGGGTGCAGAAAAGCCACGCACAAACCACCTGTAGTAAGACACCAGTCCGATGAAGCTTTTCAGCTCACGCAGGTTGGTGGGGGCTGGCCAGTCCCTCACTGTTAACACCTTCTCCTCCACTGTGCTAATGCTCCCTTCCCCAACCCTGTGCCCCAGAAACTCCAGCTCTCTTCTCATGAAGCAGCACTTGTCGGGGTGAAGATTTAGACGGGCTGCTGATACCCGCCGCAGGGCCCCTAAGGCTGCATGGAAAGAGCCCCCATGAACCAGTATGTCATCCAAGTAGACCAGACACTCCTGCTGGGCAATGTCACTCAGCACCTTTTCCATCAGCCATTCGAATGTGTCCGGGGCGTTGCACAGGCCAAAGCTAAGGACTCAAAAACTGCCACAATCCTCTGCCGGTACAGAAAGCAGTCCTTGGTCTAGCCGAGGGGCTGAGGGGCACCTGCCAATAAACCACTGTGAAGGTCTAATGAGGAAAACCAGGAAGAGCTGGTCACCAAGTCCAGAGGGACCAGCCCACCACTCCCGCAACCTCGGTGATGCCATCTGCTTCTGGGGGGAGTGGGGCCTCGCTTGTCCGTCTGTACCGCTGGGCTGTGTCCTGGGGTGAAAGAGCATGGTGGGACACAGGGGGAGGGGTCTGTATCGTCCCATCTAAACAGACCCCCTGGCATTTCCCTGGACACCAGCCTGCTTGGGGCACATCACTCTGATATGGCCGGACTGACCACACGCCCAACACACAGGAGGGCCTTAGGGGTGGCGGTTGCTGCTACGCTGCCGTTGCAGTGATGCCGCATGAATTAATTCAGTCAGTTCATCTGCCCATGCCGGTTTTGCTTGATCTTGGCCCTCCTGCACCCCAGTCTTCACCATAGGGTTGCCACTACTGTCATCGATTGTGGTCTCTCCAACAATCTCTCTCTCCAAGGCCAACTCCAGCACCTATTGTAGATTATAGGGGAGCGCTAGTTATGTCTGTATGTGCAGCTCTCTATGAGTTATAGCCCAGATGAACTGGTCTCTGGCCAGTCCATTTCGTACGTCAGGGGAAATGTGGGCATACGCTCTCTTTGCCAGGGTTTCAATGTCATTAGCCAGCACACGGAGCGCCTCTTCCTGTTTGACAGTTCTGAGCGCAGAACACCAGGCTGGTTGCATTTTCCAAACCGGCGCTGCAAAGCACCCACTAAAGCTCCATAGTTCTCTCTTTCGGCCAGGCAAAGCAGCAGCAAGCAAGTCGAAGCTTCGTCTGTAAGGCACAGGGCCAGCTGAAGTGCTTTAATGTCCTCTGACCAGCCTGCAGCCCGTGCTAAAAGTTCAAATTGGGCGTGAAAGGCCTCCCAGTCCGCTTTACCGGGGTATTTCGGCGTCTTCACTTGAACTTGGTTACAATGGGCGCCACCAACTCTGCTTACATTCAGCTCCACGGCGCATACCGTGGGCGTTCTCCCGCCAGCACGCTCCTCTGTGCTCCTTGAGCCGAGGCCAGCCTCTTTAGCCAGCTTCCTAGCCGATTCTCTTATGTGGGCAACATGCTCTGAAGCACAGTTAAACTCTGCCTCATGCCTCGACATACCGGCATAGGCATCGCCCATCGGCTCCTCTTTGATTTTCGGACGAGCTGCGGCCTTTTTTTATGTCATGCTGCGGCCTGAATTAGCCAGGTCCGGGCTAGCCGCGTTCATATGACTCGTGACTCCCGAGTCATATGAAATATTTGTTCACATTGAACTCACGAATCATTCACAAATCACAGTCTGCGAACTAATCACTCACTGAGAACAAATCACTCTCTGCGAACTAATCTGTCAATACGAACGAATTACTCTCTGCAAACAAATCTATGGCTGTGAACTAATGTTTCACTACGAACTAATCTTTCACTGTGAACTAATCTTTCACTACAAACAATTTACTCTCTGCAAACTAATCATTCTCTGTGAACTAATCTTTCGCTTGGTTTCATTTGTCACGTGACAGAGAGCTCAGGTCTTTTTTGCTCTCATTCATCTTCACATTATGGTGTGTTTTTATTTCTTAGCTTTTCGCATGGTTTTAATTACTTATGGGATTTGTGTACTTTGTAGACTTTGTCAGCGGAAGCAAACCATGTTGCCTTTAGTATTTAGTGTCGGAGAACCGCAGGCTTCTTTACAACGCCCACAATAAAGCGCCACCTGCTGTAAAACGAATGAAATGATTAGTTCTAGATTCGTTCACGACTCGTTCATTTTCCTGTTCGAGAGTCAAAGATTTGAATCAATAAATAGAGTCGGTCTTCCCATCACTAGTTCACACTCACTCCCCGCCAGGCGCTCTCTCTCATTCATCCAGACACATTCGAAGACCATGGGAAAACACAGAACTATACCATGAACACTGCAACACCACTTCACGGTCGCTACACTAGGTTATATATGTTATATATGTTAAGAAAGCGTATTGAGTTCGTTTGTTCCAAATGAGCTATGAAAATAAATGTGTAACTCTAAGCCATTTTAATCTGGTAAAAGTAACTCTCGGAGAACAAAAGGTTGGAGATCCCTATTCTAGGATGTGTTAATTTGTTTTCTAACACTGTAGACTGGAAGACCAACTCGTTTTTGAACCAGTATGATGTAATTTTCTGCAACAACTAGCCACCTAACTAGGCAAAAGGTACGCAGTCTAATTACAAAGAAGCTTGCAGTTGAAAATGTGTCCCTGCAACCACTTTGGCAACAAGGTTGTGCCATTGACCACACACACAGAAAAGGAATGTGTTTACAATACACAACAGGTAAAAGACAAAATGACAAGCAGTATTCTGAAGGAGCTGAGATCAGAAGGTGGATTAGTGTCAGACCTAATAAAACTGCATGACATTAGACTCAGGGCTTTTTCATTAAGAACTGTATTGTCAGTGTGCTAATCTGTTTTTTCTGGATCAATTCAGTTGTATTTGACAGAGACAGAGAAGGTATTTACTCTGGACTTAAATGCGTGAAAAAAAAGAGAGAAGGAGGAGGGGCATCCTTACCCTCTGGCTTCCTGTGAATCTGTCTGAACATGCTCTTGTACCAGTCTCTGGGCTTGTTCACACTCTAGTATTAAAAAGAGGGAAGGTGCAGAATGCAAAAAAAAAAAACAAAAAAACAAAAACAACGGTCAGACATGGCATTGAAAAGTGTAAAAAAAATGAAGCCGTGTTGTTTCCTCTTACAGATCTGGAGGCGATGGGCATCCCAGTTTCATCCACTGGACCAATTCCAGAGAACTTGATAAGTTTCTCTTCCCTAGTTGGAGTCCAGCTGCGCGGTAATGTGACAGAGCCATGAACACCGTTGAAGAGCCCACCTGCCGCAATAAGTGTGTTATTGTGATTATTTATAATTTTCAGGGAAACAATAAAAAAAACTCTGATATTGTCTTTGGGATGTTTAAATGGTCATAGTGATAGCTAGCTTTTAAATACCTACCACGTATCTGTGAAGGTCCATAATATGATCCGAAGCTCAAAGTTGTTCCATTTACATCTGAAACCTTTAAAAGTGACAAGTCTTACTTTTAATAAGGGTCTGTGTTAATTGGAAGGCATGTCTACAACTATGTTTCTGTGTCTGCAAATTCAAATGATGCCAGCCTTCTAAATAAAGTCACTGTGATCAGAAATACTGAGTTAGAATTTCATGATCAAAAATTATTACAATTATTTTTAAGTATGCCACTGGCTGCCTGTGATACCCTCTCCTTCCACCAAGGGGCAGACTTGTTTACTAAATTCCACACGCTCAACATCATCTTTTTGTAAACATAGTTTTAAGGTGTACAGTACCTTGGACTCTCCAGATAACAGTCTTGCTGAGCGAAACGGGCTAAGGGGAGGTGTAGGGAGTCCAGGGGAGATGACCACCTCATGGGTCATCACTGGAGAAGTTAGAATGTGCTGCCCCGACGAGACTCCAGGATCGTCCGGGAAGACAATCCTGGAGCCATTGGGTTCACCAACCACTTCCACAGTTTGCTAAACACATAGAAGATGGAAAAATATGAATGAATGTAGACAATATGTGGCCTCTGCTCCTGTCATGTCTTCCTGTTGGCCTTTTAAACACATCTGTCCACGGGAGGTCATGTGGGCTTGTTATGGCCTCAGTCCTTCTCCAGAGAATAACTGAACTCTGTGGGGGAGCGTGTGATGAAAAGAGCCCTAATTTATTTAAAGTAGGACCAGTGGGGAGCAGTGTTCCTCCCACTTCATCATCTTTCTTGCCACGACTGCAGAAAGGCCTCATTGAAGCTGCAGAGTGGGGGCACTGAAACAGGAGAGCTCCATTATGAGCCTATTAACTCCCCATTCACCAGGCCTCTGTGTTCTACAGCCAGTGGGCGGAGTCCAGTCCTGAGAGGTTGGGAAAGGGTCGCTGAAGTCAGTTCTTAAGTCCAGCGAGGGTAGAAGTGGTCTTGTTGTCTCCATAGTGACCTTTTACCCCACCATCACCGGCCCATTAAAGCCAGTCTGGCTTTTCTGTTGGAAAACTATATATTATTTCAGTAAGTTGCTGTGCTCTCTATGTAGGGGTTGCCAGGTCATGGGGGTCATGGGAAAGACCTCGAGTCACTTGCTCATCTTCAGCGTTTAACTGAGGAAATCAACTGTTGTCTGTGCCAGTGGCTGTTGTTGTGACGCTGTACTTGACTCTCATAAGCAAACTGACTAGTTGTGTCTATTTGTGAATTACTGTATTGTCCGAATAAATTCTGCACTGTGTTATATTTTTACATGCCTTTTAGTATGTTAGGTAATTGTTTAAACTTCTACACATTTGTTTTTATTGTTTTATTGATTTTATTATTTGATTGATTGTCACTGAAAGTAAATAATGAACTCTACTTGCTTAAATGCAATTTTATGCTGATGCTTCAATTCAAAGCACAAAATTCACACGCAGATTGTTATTTTTTTCTATCTGCAGCTTTGAAATAATATAATGTTTAATTAACCAAAGCCAAGTGAATCAACCTGAATAAGAAGTCAGGAACGGAAACCATATATAGACACAAACATTCTCTTCAAATCCACTATAAGAGACACCTTTACCTGAGTCTGCATGTGATCGGTTTTGGTCCTTGAGTGACAGGTTTTAGATTCTCCAGTCCAGCATCTAATGTATCTGCAAAGACATCCAGAGAAACACTTCAGTGAACAAGGATCAACATTTTCCCCTGTATCCAAAATATCAAATGCATAATAAATAACTCTTGTACAAAGAAAATGCTCATTTTAATCTGTCACATAAATGTAATGTATCTCGTGTTTTTCATTGTATTCTGTAGTAAATACTGCCAAACAAACAAACAGAAGTATTACTAGTAAAACACCACCTATTTAACCTTGTATCATTTCCCTGAGTCAAGGCCTCTCTGCTCTGAATCACACGGAGCATCCTGGTGTCAGATGTTAAAACAGTTTCATTATCTCATCTCATGAGAATTCTAGAGAAGGAAAATGTGTTTCACCCACTTTTCCCAGTTGACCATGGAAAAAACCCACCCACAACAATGAGTGTGACTCATAGGCTGAACCTGCGGGTAACTGGAGGATTGAGTTAGCCAGGGTCTGAGCTTCAAATCAATTAGGAAACAAGATTCAAGATAAAACAGTGCATTTGAAAGAAATGTCTCACAAGTAGCTTTGTGAGATCTGCAGTGTCGGTCGTTATCTTGATTAGTTTCGTCTATTCCAAATAAGAACAGACTAAATGTTAGACTTCATGTGATGACGCTGATATACTTTACTGTCTGAAGAGCATGGCACTGTATATTAGAATGGTGAAGTGAGTCAGTGTAGGTCAGTCTGAAAGTCTGGGAAATGCCCTGTACACATTCACTAATGACTTTTCCACATGGCATTTTCATAGCTCAGCAGTAGAGTCTGTAACAACCGTGATCCAGACGCAGGAAACTATACACACTCTGTCACTGTGCACAATGTTAGACGGCAGGACAAATGTCTGTGGTGCAAATGAATGTTGTTGTGTTTAGGTCCAGACCACCAGGTCACTCTGTCAGGGTCATTGTCTTTCACTAAGTGACATTACATAACCAGATCATCCAGTGAACTGGGAGATTGTGTCTACAGCAATGGCATTACTTCAGCTGACTGATTTATTAACCTGCATCACTTCAATCATCACAGTGTTTAGATTATCAGTCTTAAAGCAGGCAGTCAGGCTAGAGGCCTGTTGTGTTTGGACACAGAACTGAATCTGAGACAATATTTAAATCTAGATGTCCAGGAAAACCCACATAATTATGTTTGTATAAGTCATCATGCACTCACATCGTGTCACAAATATTTGATTAAAATTACACATTATGACAATACGTCTTCACTGATGTCGCTAACTGTATAAGAAACAACCCAACTGAACCACGTCGGGAACTTCACTTGCTAATCAAATTGTTTCTCTTCCTCTTAGATTTGACAGTTTTCTGTATTTCCTAAAACCTAGGTCAAGCAGTTGAAATATAACAAACACATGTCACTGTCACATTGCAAAATAAAAACCCATGAGACAAGTAGAACCTCTATTTAAGGACATGCTATTTTAACACCAGATGTTGGAAGTATGAAATGATAACTCATGATGACTCAGATGTCTGTGGGTCCTAGGGATTGATGTGAATGAGTGCATTTCGTTCACTCTGGATACATGTTTGGGGTGGGTTTGGACAGCAGTCAGTTTTATTTTCACAGCTTCTCTTCTCAGCACCATTGCTACATCATTCTTCATGCATCTTGTGTCCAATTTTGTTTATTTTTGGTTTATTTTTATCTTAGACATTTTTAAATAAAATCATAGTGTTATGCCACTTATAATAACACTATATTATGATAATACATAGTAATAATTGGATACATAGTTTTTCTATTCTTATTACAAATCAACATTAATGGTCTATAGTATAGTATCTACAACAAGAACACATTCAAATAAATCTGTTAAATAAATATCTGAACAGTATTCACGTCATTCCAATTAATGTTCTTTACCCTTGAAGAATAATGAAATGATGACACTATCAAAGTAACAGTGCATTTCAGTTGTATGGTAACTGTCTGTCCTCCAACTCTTAGGACTTAACACTGAATCTCAGTGACTGATGGGAGTTACGTGCTGATGAGTAAACTCTGTCTCTAACATTACACTGTCTCTGCATCTCATATCTGTGGTGAGCACAGAAAAACACAGCAGAGAGAAACTCCAGCACTGCACACATTCCCTTTTCACTCAACTCCGTCCTGCCTAATAAGGACAAATCTGTGATGATATCGAGGCTAGAAAATACTTCTCGTGAAGTCTGGCTCTCTCTGGGTTCTGTCAGTACATTCTTATGTAATTATTGAGACTCAGTAACCAATGGAAGGGTGAAGCTTTAGCCCAGAGACCAAAGGATCGGTGGTATGTGATTCCAACTGATGCCACTGCTCTGAAATATCTGCACGTTAGAGCCCAGGTATTTACAAGTGGCACCCCTGCTGGGTGAAAGGTCCATGATCACCACTGGCTGGGTGATGTGATGTGATGGAAGAACAACAGAGCCATAAAAGGCCCATGTGTCTTTGTCTCAGAAGACGGTGGCTTTGGAACTAACTTTAGACACACAGCACGTCCGATTGGGTAAAAAAACACCCTTCTTTCACATGTGAGTTCGCTGCAGGGTCAATGAGGAATCGGATATGAGAATCCTGGGAAATTAGAAAGGAAATCTCTTCCTCTGTTCCCAGGAAATGTTTCCGTTCATCTGTGAGCAGCAGATGTTAGTGTAGAATAATCATCGATGCAACAATTGATACCAGTGGGTCCACCAGGGGATGCTGAAATCAACTTAGTGAGAAAGGTGAATAAAGGGGGAAGACAAGATCTCACAGGGTAGAGGTTGTGTACAGACATTACAAATAACACAACCTTGGTAAGTGCAGTATACTACAAACAGGAAATGAAAATTACTGTGAAAAGAGTTTTAAATGTGTATGTGTTTCTTCCTCGTCTCTGTAACCTCACTCTTACTCTCACTCTGTGACCTAGTCTCTGTTATCACTCTTTTATCAGGTGTGAAAGATATTTTAATCTCAGTGGAACTGCCAAGTAAACTTCAGGTTCAAAAAAATAAATGTTATCTGTTGATGAGTCAGGTTTAGGGTTGGTGAACTTTGACCACACCCTGTGACTCACGTGAATCCCAGAGGGAGGTTTTAAAACCAAATGTTAATGTTAAAGTAGCATTATTACAAAAGTTAATAATGCCACTTATATACCGTATATATATATATACATACACACACATCTATATATGTATATATATATATATATATATATATAGATAGATAAATATCTATATATTTATATATATGTGTATATATGTATATAGTGTGTATATATATATATATGGTATCTATAAAAACATTACCACATACTGGAACTACATATGTTCTCTTTCTCTTTTTTTCTTCACAGCCTGACCTTGATGACTCTATTTTCCAGCACTTTCAAAGTTGTTTCACTTCTTCATTCTCAGGAAGCTACTGGTATAGTTTGTACAAAATCATCCCACAGCAAAGAATGCTGACCAACCAGCCTCAGGCTGACAGGAAAAACACAAACACAACTAACTACCGCTGTACAGAAGGCAGCACATACAGTACACCATACGTGTCAAACACAAGGCCGGGGGGGCAAATGCGGCCCACCAAGCCATTTTGTGTGGCCCACGGGAGCTTAAAAGGCATTTAATAAAGTCCATGCAGCAGAGTTTATCAACCTATGAAATTAAAAGTTGTTTGTTTTTTTACACAGCAATGAACAATATTTGTAGCTTGAATAAATAATAATCAATTGCAGATACATGTATTAGTCTGTTATGGAGGAGCTACATCTATACCCGACTCTATTTTGTTTGTATCAAAGTCTGAATGACTTTAATTTTAAAATATTGCCAGATTATCGTCAAATAAAGAAAGTAAATGGATATGACTGTTTTTTTCTTTGAATGAAGTAAATTAGAAAAAATTAAGCACATTTTTGCACTATGTCCCACTGCAGGCCGGTACCAAGTGACTTATGGACTGGTACTGGTCCACGAACCAGGGGTTGGGGACCCCTGATCTATACAGTGTTCCATTTAAAACCGGCCCTTCAACTGTTTTGCTGATGTGACCCCTGGTGAAAATGAGTTTGACACCCCTGCAGTATACTATACAGTACAGTATACCAGGAACTGAGCAGTTCTGCCCAATAAAGTGGCCAGTCAGCATACAGTATACTGCCTGGATATATATTCTTCTACACAGATGGTAACTGTGCAGAAGACTGTGTGGTTAATCTTGAATCAAGTGTTGTAAATAAAACTGAACCTTCAATCATTAGCATACATGTTAGCTTCTGCTTCTGTCTGAAGGGCAGTGAGACGTGATCATCAATCATTAACTCCACATAAAGTGGAAACTGCTGTGCACACTTAAAAAAAAGAGCCAAATCAGTTTACCTCAAGCAAAGTTTTTTTTTTATAACAACCTTTCTATTTGTCTAAGGCAGTCATTTATTACTTGAACAATATTGTACACCCCTGAAATAACCAGGAATCGATGTGCTGATGTGTAACAACAGGATCTAATCTTCTAACAAAGGGCTGTCACCTGGATCACCCAAGAAAACACGACAGACTCGAGGGTTAAAGTCTTACTGCCCTTTTAGCTATTTAATGTTATGACTGTTCAGGAAGTTACACAACAAGTGAAGAAATCTCTCTTTGAAAGTGGCGTAAATTCCAGTCACATTTAGTGAATAAATAAAACAGACATTTCTGTCTAAACACATTGAACGCATCCCTCTATGGGTAAGTGTGGGATGTTAAAGGTCCTATGAAGCAAACAGCACAACAACTCTGGCCTTCTGCTGTTGGTTGACAACTGAGCAGATGTGTGGACACAGCCCATAAAAGGTCCTGTGGCTGCAGGTCTATGATATGCAGTTATTTGAGGGGATACATGCACACATTTGTTGGGAGGGAAGGTATTTTACCACCTTGTATGGTGCTCCTCCACTCTGAGCAACAGCAAGAGTCGCTCTGTGTGCTTTTTGTCAATGGGGACGCACTGTGTTCCCTTGGA